TAGCCGCCGTCGCTCTGCAGGCTGTAGTGGTCATCCACGTCACTGCTGCTGCCAACGCTATCCAGCTCGCCGGGGCCGAACTCCATGCCCTCCACGTCCACTTCTGGGGAAGCAGAGAGGACGAGGTTGGGCCCTGAGGGTGCCAGCTGGGCTCCTGGCAAAGTCAGGGCCGGTCTCTGCCTTTGAGGGGAACAGAGGCTCCAGGGGGTGCAGGAGAAACGGGCTGCAGGTCTGGGCCTCAGCCCCGGAGCACACGGCCTCGGTGCGCAGGTCACCCTCCCCCTCCTCGCATCACTTCTGCACGGCACGCCAGGTGTCCGGACAGCCGGGGGACACGCTGTCACCTCAGCACCTGCTGCCCACTGCCATCACCCCCCCTTCCTCAGGCCTCCTGGCCAGCCCCTCCTCCCAGCTCCCTCCCGCCCCACCCCAGCCTGGGGCTGCAGGCAGCCTGTGCCCACCTTGCTCCGAGTCGTCCGTGGAGACGGCAGAGCCTGTGCTGTCTGTGCGCACGCGCTCCAAGCTCTGCACCGACAGCTGCTCCAGGCGCCGCTTCAGGAAGCGGTGTTGGCGCTGCAGCTGCTCCTTGATGCTCAGCGCCCTGCGGTCCTGCTCCTCCAGTTTCTGGAGGCAGGGGGGCTGTGAGCCTGGCGACCTCCTGCCCATGCTGGGGCCCGGCATGGGGGCACGGAGGCCCGGGCAGGCTCCCTGTCTTCCACCTGGCCTGGGTCCAGGGCCCCAAGGGCCCCAATGGCGCCTGCGTCCCGGCCTCAGCCCTCCAGGAGGTCACACTAGGTCCCACCTCCCAGCCTGCGCTCTGCTGACCAGCCAGAGCCCCACCGCCACCAGCCAGCGTGGCCAGCCAAGTCCCCTGGGAGCCTGATGCCCTGGGACAGCGCCACTCAGGCAGGCGGGCACTTCCTCCCAGAGGACAGCTCTGCCGACCACCACTCCCCTCGCCCACAGGGCACCCTGCTGGCCCCTTCCCCTCGCCACACCTTCCCCTGAACCCCTGAACAGAGACTGCCTGCCGGAATGCCCCAGGGCACCGCTGTGCCTCTCAAAGCTCCCATTACCCTGCTTGGGGTGCCTAGGACTCTATGCCCCAGGGGCCCTAGAAGGGGATGAGACCACCCTGGTTTGTCCAAGTACCACAGGACCCCAAAACCAGCAGGTCTCCGTCTCAGACCTTGGGGCCTGCCCAGGCAAAACCTTACTCAGCCACACCCACAGCCAGCCTGGTCCCCAGAAGCTCCCCCACCACTGGGCACCTATTGCCCATGGGCCTCCCAGCATCGAAGTCATCCTGCCCTCCTGGTCCCACTTTCACAGTCCAGGACCCCGGAGGGCCATCTGTCACCCTCTCCCCCTTCCCCCCACCCAACAAAACCCAGCGGGTGCCCATGGCATCCTCACCCCTCGGCAACCCCTGGTGCTGCTCACCCCACCCCGAGACCCCAGGCCCCCAGTGTGCACCTGCCAGGCAGCTCCCACCCACCCTTGGGCCCCATGGGCATGCTCCCAGGTGCACAGGGCTGGACCGGGCATCCTCGTGGCGGGCAGGGTGGTGGCAGAGGGGGCAGCCCTGCTCACCTTGATGTGCGTCTTGGCGCGCTTCAGGAGGCTCAGTGTGGTGTGGCGGGTGCTGTCGGGGCCCAGGGGCACCAGCTGCTTCAGCTGCTCTAGGTAGAGCCTGAGCTTGGCTCGTCTGAAAGAGCCAGAGACAGAGCGTCAGGCAGGGCCGCCCGGCAGTGGCAGCCGCCAGCCTCCCTGCGGACTGCTGAGGGCCTGTCTGGAGCTCCCCTCCCACCTGGCCGCAGCTCCCCGGGCCTCAGGGCAGTCTAGCCCCTCAGCCTCCGAATGCCCAGAAAAAGAAGAGGGCCCTTGGCCAGGGCACTGCCCGAGCGCCCAGCACACCTGCTGTCACCACCTCCATGTGGGGCAGCCTGGAGGAGGTGGGGAGGGGGCTCAATTTTTGCTTACGGAGTTGCAAAAGCACTCAAAAAGCTGGGGCTACCTTCTTGCTAACAAAAGCCTATTTTACAGCCTGGAGGAGATGGGGAGGGGGCAGCCTGGAGGAGGGATGCTGGTCGGCTGCCCCCGAGATCCGGGGTGCTCAGACAGATTTACGCCCTCACCGGGCCAGGTGCGGGGTGCTCACTGGCCACTCTCGCCACCACAGAAACATGAGCCCATCTGGGTCAGGGAAGCAGAGGCCTGGACCCCCTCACCCCCTGCCCCCACCCCGGGCTGGCATGGGGGTGGGGGGGAACGGCTTCCTTCCAGAGTTTGCCCCATATCCCTGCAGATGATGGCAGTTTTCCAAAACTAGAGTCACAGGTGTCAGGTCCTCAGGCCACGGGCCCCCCACAGACACTGCCTGCCCTGCTCATCTTGTCCAGGGAGGGCAGGCAGGCGCCTGGGGCAGCGGCTCGCCCTAACCCGAAGCCACCTCCTGGGCCCCGCCTGCCCCAGCGCCCGCGCAGGCTACCGTCTGGAGAGGAGTCGAGAGGCCCAGGGGCCTGGGGAGCACCCACACAGGCTGCTCCCCCTTTTCACCTCCGCTCTCTATGTCCCAAAGCTCAGTAAACTCCAACTGACGGAGCCTTAGAGACCCTGGGAGGAGAGAGGGCAGATGGCTACCACCTCGGGCCAGACAGGCGCCGCAGCCCGGCCTGGTCTGTCACCCACGTCCACACGGGACCTCCTGCGGACGGAGCAGCTCCCACCGGGCACCCTGGGGCCTGGAAGTTCCCCAGGTGAAACCAAGTCAGACCTTAGAAGAACTTCCAGGACGAGGGGCAGAGGCTGTCGGGCTCAGCCACCAGGCAACAAGCAGCCGTCCCTGCGGCCTGTGCGCAGAGCAGCCCGGCTCTGCCTCGAGGCTGGGGGACCCTCAGAGGGTCGTGACCCCTCCGCATGGCGCAGGGTGGGAGAAGGGCATGCTGGGTGGGCTCTGGAACTCATGCCTCCGGGTCCCAGGCTACTGTGCACGATCCCTGACCCCCCGAGTCCGAGGGCCTCGCCTCCTCACTTGCACAGGTGCCAGCGTGCTCGCCCCGTGGGCAAGTGGGACTCCCTCGTCCACTCAACCTCCTGTTACCTGCATCCTGCCAAGGGCCCTTTGAGTATGTGCCACATCACCCTCGGGCCGTCCACAACGAGCTCAGCCCGCGATGTTTGGTCAAACCTCTCACTAACTCACCCCTACTGCCTCAGCAGGGTCAGACCAGGCGGTTTTGTGGCGTTTTAGGGCCCGCAGGCCGGTATTCCCCACCCCGCGTCTACAAACTCGGAATGTGGTCTTGGTGGAAATCAGCAAATGCAAATCAGCAGGAAAAAAATAAATGGAAAAGTACCCCCAAGTTCCCCTCCTGCCCCCGCAACAATCAACAGCACCATCCTCCCAACCTATTCCACATGTATGTCCGCCTCAGGGATGCAGGTGAGAAAGCCGCCCGACACTGTTCAGAACTGACACAGCAGACGCACACAAGAGACTCGACAGGACACAATGAAGAGCAGGAGGCATGCGTCTCCAGGGGAGGCGTTGGCAACGTTTATTTCTTTGGCTTTGCGCTTTTTTAAAAAAAGAAAAATATATATATATGTATTCCAGATTTTTTAGGCTAAAAGGCCACATGTTACTTTTACAATCAGAGAAAGACACATTTGTACAAGAAAGAAAAAACACAGCTAAAAGACAAATAACAGTGGAAAAATATTTGCAATACATGTAAAAGACAAACGGTTAGTATCCATGACATTCTGAGCTCATACACAGCAAAAATAAAAAGAGGAATCTCGTGATGTGAAAACGGGCAAAGGATACAAACAGGCAAGTAGCGGAACAGAGACGGCTAATCGGACACAAAGCGGACCGGCCCGGGGTTCCACGCGGTGCAAGCTCACGGAGGAGGCCCTAGTTTGGTGGAAATGGGGAGGTGACTCTCGTGGGCCAGCGCCTAGGCCCCGCAGGCGTCGCTGGCGGGGGTCCCGAAGGCCGCCGCAGCGCCTCAAACCTCTAACTCAAGGTGGGTCCCACAGAGCTACCTCCACGTGTACAAGGGGAACCAGAGGGCCAGGCTGAGAGCCTGGGGACAGCTGCCTGTACTGGGCGGCACCAGGACAAGGAGGGGGGGAGCGCTCAGGTAGTGTCAGGTGAAAGGTCCAGTGAGGAACGGCGGTTAACAAGATCTGCGATCTGCTCTTACCAGGTTAGTGTGCACCTGGCCGAAGAGGGGGCCCAGGACAGCTGGGGGCGGGGCGGCGGGGCTCAAGGGAGGTCCCTGAGCATTCACAAGGCAGACACTTCCCAAGAGACAGAGAGAGGCCCCGCCTACACTGTGCCGTGCTTAACACCGGACATGCCCACCCGGTGCCAGGAGGGTGGGCTGTGGGGCCCTGGCAGGTGCCAGTGTCCCACCCTGTGGGGAGTGGGCATCCCCAGGTGCGCCCGGGCGGGAGGGCGCTGAGGCCCCATAGCCTGGGCTGCCCGGGGCTCTCACTCAGCTGCCCTGAAGCCAAGCTCTCTGCTGCGGCCGCAGTGCCCAGCCCCCCCAGTGCCCAGCATCCCTGGAGCTTCAAAACCCACCATGTCCCACAGGAACCCTGTCTGGCTCCAGAGGCAGACCCTGCCTGGGAGTCACTGCATCCGTGTGAACAGCCCAGCCAGCCCTGACACGGCCCTTCCTAGCTTCCTCCCCAGGCCCTGCTCCTCCCAGGAGGCCCCGAGCTGCATGGAGGGTCCCCCAGCCCAAGGGACTGCATCCCAGCCGTCCGTGCTCTGAGCACCCCAGGTCTGGCTGTCACCGAGGAGGCAGCAGGGAAATGCACGGGGCGGGGAGGGGGGCCGCGCATGCCCCCTGCTGCCCTCTGTCCACCTGCATTCTCTAGCTGTGAGGTTCGTAAAGGCCGCCTGTGGCTGCACCAGGAGGACCCACCCAGTCCTGTACCACCATCTCCATGCAGGGAGAGGCGGCAGAGGTCTGACTGGGGGCCTGGGGCTGGCCTTCGGGATGAGCCCTGCCACTCCACACATGTAACAGCTAAAGCCCGGGTCCCCCGTCAAGGAACACGTGGCCTCATGACCCCAGCCTACGGGGCCAGCGGCCAAGTGTCAGCCTGAAACCCACTGGAGCTGCTGTCTGGGAGGCAGGAGGAGAGATGGGCCAGGCTGGGGTAGCTGGGGCTGACAGGCGCTCAGAGCAGTACCTGCAGGCCCCACACGCACGCTGCTAGGCAAGGGGACGTCCATGCTGCCTCCCTGGAGCAGCTGGGCGACCCAGCCAGGTGCTTCCTTCCTTCCTGAGGACGGCTCTCGGCCCTTCCTGTGGCCGGTGCCAGGCGCATCTGGCGTCAGCACCGGCAGCCACAGGTACAGCCATGGCCGAGGTCCCCACGAGGATCCCCAGCTCCAGGCCCGTGGGTTCCCCAGGGCTGTGCACACCTGCCAGCTGGCCAGGCTGCCTAGCCATCCTGCCTGTGTCTCAAAAGGGCCTCACGAGGCTGAGCCTAAGGGCGGGTTCTGGAATAAGGTGGCCGAGTCCAAGGTCAGGGTCAAGGGGCAGTTGTAGGGGTCAAAGCCCTTGTCCTCCTTGTCCCCCGCCTCCCCCACGTCATCCATCCTGTCTGTCCGCATTGAGGGGCTGTTCTAGGCACCACCCCAGCAAGCCTTCCCCAGAGCACCCTGCATGCCTGCCTCGGCTCCCGGTCCGGCCCAGGGCCACCTCCCCCAGCCTGGCAACAACCCCGGGGCTGCCTGGCTGTCTGGGCCCTGCACCTGCCCCACCTCCATGGCCTTGGGAGCCCCTCAAACACACAGGACCAGTCCAGGAAGTGCAGCTCCTCCAGGGAACACGGTGTCCTGTCCCTGCCTAGCACCCGCCCAGAGCAGGCCTGATCCCAGGGGAGCGGAAGTTGGCGCTGCCTTGGCTGTGGAAGGGGGGGTGGGGGGGAGACAAAGAGAACTGGCCAAGCTCCAAACATTCCCAGAGCAGGCCGGGAAGGTTCTATTGGAATGCAG